GGCAGACATAAATGCGCAGATTGTTCGTGCGCGGCGAGCCCAAGTGCGGACATCTGCTGTTGTCACACAAGTGAGTGTCTTGCATGCCGACGTTGCGCCAAGCGCGTTCACGAACGAAGCTTTGCAGCAAAAGGACACCCTCAAACGCCTCATTGATGCTGTGCACTCGTCGTACTCCTCGTTGAAAACCGTCGCTGCGCAGAATATCAAGTATTTCATCAAGGATTTTCCCGAACTTGAGGATGACGCTATAAACGCGGTGTACGACTTATGTGAAGACCAGGACCAGAAGGTGCGTCTGCGTCATCATCACACATATCCCCTTGTCATGATTCCGTCCTGCTAGGTACGCAAGGACGGATACCGCGCTATCACTTCCGTTTCGAGGGAACAGAGGAAGTGGGTGAAGCGCAACGCGGACGTCTTGGTACAACTGCTTCAGAGCGGTAAGTGTCTATCTGCCAGATGACATCCTTTGCCTTTCCAGGGATCCATTACTTCCCTCGGCGCGTGTGCTCTGTCGCTCTTGGTCGTCTTCACTTCACAGTGCACGCCGAGCCGCTAGACTGATCGTGTGTGCAGATGAACCGGAAGAGGTCGAAGTCGTCGAGCAGCAGCTGACTGAACACCTCGACATGGACCCTACTGCGACGCTCGGTGTACTGTGCGATCAGGTTGCGCCACAAGACGAAGCTGCAGACGAAGAAGAGCAGGCAATACGTGATCGTCTCAGGGGGCTCGTTCTCAGTTTCATGACCGGCAAGGCCAAGCGTGGTATCATGGAGCGACATGCCAATACACACGATAGCCCGGCTGAAGTCATGCTGGTGCAGGGGATGTATAGGGTGCGTGCTATTTGGATCATCATGGGATTAATTTTCATGAACTCGAACCACTCTTAGGCCATCGCGAAGCTACCTCCTGCAGATGTCGAAATAGTCATCAAAGAGGTCCTCCTGCCACTACCATCGTTCAGCCCGCCGAATGCTCTGCGGGGGGGTGAGTTACTGAATGCTCTCATGGGCGAAGCAAGATCAGCATGGAAGTCTGAGTCGCCTCAGGGCAGTGATCGCTCTTCTATCCCTCGAACTCGCTTCTTCCTGGAACTCGCACATGAGATCATTGTGGACAAACGCATAGCGCCTCCACACAATCTTCTGCAGTTCTGTGTGGCAACTTTGGTATCAAAGGTGGTCTTGCAGAGTCTCACCGACGATGTGCAAGCATTTGTCGTGAGATGTATCGCTGAGAGCTTCGACCTCATGCAAGAGAGCAGTCCAAGTGAGATTCCATCAATACGTGATCAGCTGGTGGAAGCCAGCGGTTCACTTCTGGCAGTAAGTGATGGCATAGCACGATACGGAACTGGATCGCTAACACGTGTATCTAGTGCTTCATCGAGTTCAAACCCGAATTGAAACATTGGCCAGCCTGTGTGACTATTTTGAGAGCCTGCAAATACGTGAGTATCTCGTGGATCGCCCTTCGCGATATCTGCTTAAGTACCGCTGCTCGCAGCATTTTGAGACCTCACAGTGGAAACCGTCATCAACTGTTGTCTCAGCATATCAGAAATTGCAAGAACAAGCTTCAAGTCGCGAGATTCCGCAAGAGCACAGACAAGCTGCAGAAGAAGTGCAAAGCCTTATCAGGGTTCGCAATGGGCCATCTTTCGTTTTCCCCTTCGTAATCCAACAATGTCCTCTTCTCTGTTTGAGCAGTCACTCCTTCAGACTACGCCTGCATCGCGTCAGTCGTCCGTACCGGCGACAGCACCAAGCCCAGGGGCGTCTACTAACGTAGCGAAAGGTATGTCAAACAATGGCAAGCCCAACGGCGGCCGTGTCCAAATCAAGCGCAAGCCGGAGCTCCAGGCGGATCAACAACGCGCAGCTCACCGGCAGCCCTCAAGACCGCCATCGCGAGCATCAATGCCGCACGGGCCTCAAGGATCACTGCAGCAAGGAACCGGATCTCGCAACGAACGACAGCTGCCACCGCACCTGGTCGCGAGGCGGGCGGATCGCCAGCGGACAAGCTCACCGGCAAGCGGCCGCGCGACGCCTGTGAGCGACAGTGAGCCACATCCGAAACGGCAGAAGGGCCTCACCAGCGAGCCA